TTCAGGAGAGCAGGCTCCAGAGGCCCCTGGCCTGTTTGCACTCTGGCCAGCTCCCTCCCTCCCTCTGGTTCCCCAGTTCTAAGTGAGTAATCCTGTCCCCTCACAGGCTCATTTATGGGAGGGTTGGTGCCTAGTGAATAATTAGTTACATTCAATTAGGCCTCATTGCTCTCCCCTCACTTGGGGGGACAGGCGGACTAATGAGACAGCAAGTCAGATGACAGTAGGGAGTGAGTGTTAAACACCGAAGCCCCCAGGCTGGGAGGAAACAGTATGGGAAGGTGAGGGAGAGATTTAGAAGACAGAAAAAAAAAAGGCAGAGCATCATAATCAGAGCTCACGTGTCTATAGCTCTGTAAAGTTTACAAAGCACTGTCTTCACAATAACTCTTGGAGGTAGGAAGTGCAAGAGGTATTATTTGTCTTTTTACAGATGAGGTGGGACTTTGAGAGGTCAACCAACTTGACCTTGGTCCCAAATGGAATTAAAGCCCAGGTTTCCTGATCTTATTTCCAGTATTCTGTTGCTATGCCAAGATGCCTCTCAGTATGACCCTGTCATTCATGGATCTTCTCATTTGTGTCATTTGTAACCCTAACTGTCAGCAATTCTCACTGATGTGGTTCATAGGATTTAAAACTGGGAATGGTTGAAACCTTGGAAATTCTCTTGTCCAGCAGAGGAATTCTTAAGATTTTTTGTATCTCAGACCCACTTGGGCTGTCTGGTAAGCCTATGGATCCCTGCCCAGAATAATATTTTTAAGTGAGTAAAATAACATATATAGGATTACAAAGAAAATCAGTTTTATTGAAATGAAGATGTAATTTTTCCCTATCCAAATTCACAGCCACCCTGAAATCTGTTCATGAATCCAAACCCAGGTTAAGAACCTCTGATCTAGTTCAATCCTCTCTGGAGACCAGGAGGAGAAGGGATTTCCCTAGGTTCACACAGGTGAGTGTGTTCATAGGTGAGTCCACACAGGATTTGCACCCTGGTCTTTTGATTCCAAATCCAGTGAGTAGAAAAGAACACTGCAGTTAGAGTCAGACAACCACAACCCTGTTTGAATTATTTAACATCTCTGGGCCTCCAAATGAGATGCCTGGACAAGACAATTTCTAAGGTCTCTTCCAGCTTGACACCTATGATCCCTCAGTTCTCTTGTCATTATACTGAACTGACAAGGCCCAAGAACCTTCTCAGGGGATTTCTTTTCCTTCTTTTGCCTTGGAGCCCTCACCATTTCCCCTGTGCTCCAGGATACCAAGATCTGCTCCCAACTTGCAAGCCTACAGTTCACATTATTGAAGTTTGTTTTTTAAAGGAAGAAGAAAAGAGAGAAACCCCTGAAAGAGTAAGCCCAAGTCCCAAATACATGCATAAATCATGAGTCACTTACAGCCTGGGATCTGAAGGCCATAATTCCTACTACTCTCTGACAGTCAAAGGCAGCTGGGGACAGAGGTGTTAATTTTGTTCTCTCTTTCTAGATTTCTGCTATTCCTCATGGCTTTCCTCAGCCCCTTATTCTAATAGTTGACAGTTTCCCAGGCAATGGGAAGGCCAGTGTCTAAAGTTCATCAGCCTTTTAATGTCATGGCCCATGGGCTCCTGAGTCATCTTTCTACTGTGAGTGACATAGCTTTTCTTAAGAGAGACAGAGACAGAGAGACAGAGAGAGACAGAGAGAAAGAGAAGAGAGAAGAGCACCTAATGTATATATTTATCTGTACACAGATATCTGGCAGCTGCCTCAAAAAGGCAGCTAAGTGGCATGGTGGCTAGAGTGTTAAATCCTGTCTCACAATGTTTACTTAACTGTATAACCCCTGGCAAGTAACTTAGCCTCAGTTTCCTCATCTGCAAAATAGAGATAATGATAGGATTGTCATGAAGATCAAATGAAATTATTGTACATAAAGCATTTTTGCAAACTTTCAAGTGCTACAGGAATGTTTCATTATTACTACCATAATTATAATTATTATTTCATGTCTTATTCCCCTCACTAGATGGTAAGTTCCTTTGGAGTAGGGATACTGTCCTTTTTAATTATTGAAAACACAAGCACAACTTTGAATATATAATGGGCACCTAATCAATGTTGAATTGGATCTATTTACATATACACGTCTTACCTCTCCTATTTAGACTATATACACTTTGAGAGCAGGGACCTACTATGTATTCTACACATGTAGACACATAATATATTTGCTTAATTAAATTGGATTTTAAATTTTTGTATCTCCTATGAATAGCACAATAAAATGGAGGAAGGAAGGAAGGAAGGAAGGAAGGAAGGAAGAAGGAAGGGAAGGAAGGAAGGAAGGAAGGAAGGAAAGAAGAAAGGAAGGAAGGAAGGAGGGAGGGAAGGAGGGAGGAGAAGAGAATGAAGGATACTGACAGAGAAGGGAGAGGTTGAGGGGAAAAGAAGGAACAGGGAAAAGAGCTGAGAATTAAGTAAGTAGAGAGGAAGGAAAGAATGGAGAAAGAACTGGGAGTTGGAGCAGATGGTAGGTAGATAAATATGAGAAAGTGGAGAAAACAAGAGCTGGGATGGTAATGATAATAATTCACATTTCTATAACCCTCTTAACTAAATAATTCATATAATGCCACCTCCACTTTACAGATGAGAAAATTGAGGCTCAAAAAGTCTAAGTGGCTTGCTCAGTCATGCAGATAATAAGTATTAGAACTGAGACTTGAACCTAGGTCTTATGATGCCCAAATTTAGTGTTTCTTTACAATGCTTAATAAAATCACTCGTTCATCTATAGCTATGTTTCCACATAGTTGTTTTCCATCACAAGCCCTTCCTGGTCTCCTTCAGGATTAGTGCCTTCCCTCTCAGATTGCCTCAATTTTACCCTGCATATATCTTCTCCATACATAGTTGTTTCCATGCTGTCTTCCCCACTAAACTGTGAACCCCTTAAGGTCAAGGACTATTTTTATAGCTTTTCTTTGTATCCACAGTGCTTAATATAATGCCTGGTATATATAGTAGGTGCTTAATAAATGTTTATAGACTTGACTTACTCATTCACCATTTATTAAGTGCCTTCCATGAGAGTAAATCAAGAGTGTCAAGGGAGAGAAGGAAGAGAGATGTCAATCAATGAAGAGAAAAAGGTACTAACTGAAGAATGGAGGAAGATGAGTAGAGAGAAAGGGGGATGAATAGGGAGACTAGGGAGTACAAGAAGAGTAAAGAAACAATTGGCAGAGCCTTGGAGGTAGGCAGGGATCACAGAAAGTCAACTGGGGAAGTACCACAGAGGGATGGTAGGGAAATAGAGAAGAAGGATCAGGACAAGATCTTTATCCTCTCAAACATCCTGAATTAATGGTCGGGTCCAGCCTCTGGTCTTCGTGGGGGGAAAGCAGAGAGGTTTAGATTCTGAACTTAGAGGAGTCAAAGACCTTAACGGAGGCCCTGCATCTATTGCCAGAGCAGATGGTGGTATCTGACCGGGGCTTGCCTCCGAGCCGTACCACTATACAGCTAACCCATCAGAAGGAGGGAAGCTGGAGGTCTGCCCTCTGGGTTTGAACCCCAGACTGGCTGTCACTCAGCAACTTCTCCTTCTTGCCCCTCTCTCTTTCCTGCTTCCAGGTTTCTCCATCCCAGTTCCTAAGCTGTCTGCCTCCCCCATATCTCTCCCTTTCCCACACAATTTTGCTTTTTCTGATTAAAATTGCATTTCTCCCTCCCTCCCACCCCCCACCCCCCAGCAATCAAATTCATAATTTTCCATGTCTGAGCTGCTTGGGCAGACAGATCCCTGGGGGCAGAGTCTTTAATAACAGAGCCTGCCCTAGGAAACCAGACATAGTGCCAGAGGGCCCAACTATGACACATATTTTAGAAGGGAGGGATTCCTGAGGTTGTGAAGAGAAATAATCAGAAGTTAGCTACTGTCCCTTCCATGAACTCCAGGTCACCCATCCCCCCCACACCCACTTGGACCAAATTTCTCCCACCAGCTATTTTCGGGGATGGGAGGGAGGGCAGAGTGGATAGTGGGACGGTAGGAAGAGAAAGAAGAAAGCAGGGGTTGTAGAAGGAGGATAGTTGTTGTGGGATGAGGATAAACCAAGGGAAGAGGAGGATCAGTGGGACCTATGACCTGATTTGGAAGGTACCATAGAGATCGTCCAATCATTTTACAGAGAATGAAACTGAGGCCAAGAGTGCCCAAGGTCAGACTGATAGAAGTAGAGCTGAAATTTGAAACCATATCCTCTGATTCAGACAGAGAAGAACTCAAATGGACACAAAGGATGGGCTAATTGAGATCAAAGGGGAATTGAATTATTGAATGGCAAGAGATAAGGAACTCCATAGATAGACAGATAGACACACAGACAAAGATGGATAGATGGATAGATAGATAGATAGAGTCAAATAAACTTTGGACTTAGAGTCAGAAGCCCTTGTTCTAAATATTGGCTTCCTGTTGTCTGTGTGACCTTAAGCAAGTCACTTCTCTTCTCTGGAACAGCTACCTCCAGTGCCCAAAGAAGAGATGGGACTAGGAGCTCTCTAAGGGCCTTGCCAGTTCTAAAGCCTATGATGCTAAGGAACATGGAGAGACTAAGAGACCAGGGCAGAGTGGGGGCCCTAGGAAGCAAAATTGACATGAATGTCACCTCAGTGCCACCTTCTGGCTGCTATTTGCTTTACAGCAACTGCCTCCAGGAGAGAGTCCAAAGCCCAGAGCCAGAGAAGGGATTTCAGGGTGGAGTCAGTGGCCCTGGCTTTGCATCAGATTCTTCACTAAGGGAAGGGGGGACCCCGTGGTGAGCCAACTCCCCCCATCCAGTGCCCACTACCCAGCACTCCCTATCCCTTTCCCTTTCCAAACATAGGCTGTAATTTGACATCTGTAAACATACCTTGAGCCCCCTCCTTTTTTAAGCCCATATGGGTCTGGACCCTAGAGTATAAATCAAGATTTCCCAATTAGTAGATCAAGACCTCTGATTGGACCTCAAAGTTTTATTTAATCAATCTCCAAGTCACCTACAGATGCCAACCCTCATACCATTCCAGGCAGTGTGTACACACCCCAACCCCAATCCCACTTTTCAGTGATCATAAATAACACCTAGTGAGACAGACTGACTCCGGCCTGAGTGTCCCCTCCACGCCTTCCTTGCACTTGCGCCCTATCCAGTATGAGCTAAGGCAGCCTTCCCACTGCTCCCCACCCCCTTCTCCCTTCCTTAGCTCTTTTTCCATCTGCTCTTCCTGTCTGGTCTCCCCCTCAGCTGGTACTGCAGGAAGATAATGGGATGTTATATTTTTATCCTGATGTTCTCCCTGAAGGTGGGGAGCAGGGCACTAGAGCACCCAGCAGCAACAGCAACAGCCACTCACACTACGTTAAGAGGGAGAGGGTGGGAAGACCCTGGGCCTTGAAGTAGATTCTAAAGAGTAAAGCTTCCCATCTTCTGGCATGGAAGGGGTCAGAAGGACCAGCCTTAGGATCAAAAGTGCTTTGTGGGCAATGTGTGTTCGTATGCAAGGAATCCCCTCTTACGGCTTTAGGAGACTGTGCCAGTGGGATAACTGGATCATTTTCTTTTTTCTTCCCTCCTTATGCAAAGGCAGCAGGGCCAAGAGGGGAACTCTGGGGCCTGGAAATATTAAAGTCATTACTAAGGGGAAAAAGTCTCAGGACCTTCTGTACCATGCACTTCAAGGGTCAGATGGGAAGCAGGCAGCCCCCCTCCCAGAACTTCCCCCACCCCTCCCTCTGCCTCCAGAACAGCAGCTTCTGGTAATGCTGCTATCAGTACTCTTGGGCTTCCCCCACATCAAGATGCCCTGAGCCTCGATGCCTGGCCTTGTTTTGGCCCTGGCAGCCCCTGAGACCCATGGCCTCTCACTGTCCTTCTTGTTCTGAAATGCGGCTGTCTTTGCCATCCTCCTGGGTGACAGGCTGGCCCCGAAGTAAGGTTTCCTGTACTGGGAGGGGATCCTCTTCATTCTCCTGGGGATTTCCTCTTGGGTGCAAAGTACCCAAAGCCTCTTGCTGGAGAACCTGCTCAGGACAAAGAGTCAAGTAAAGGGCAGGAGCCTTTACAAATAGAGTGCTCCCCCAGTGAGACAGAGAAGGGGCGTCATGCTGAACATTCTGAGGCAGAAGAAGAAGGGAGGGATGCGCATACTTCCCTCTATGGCTGCTCCCCAGTATACAGAGAAGGTATGGGAAGGAACAAAATTCTAGGCTCCTTTCCATGGGTTCCTCCTGCCCTCTGCTGGCCATACCATGAATCACAAGTCTTTAACCCTCAAAGGGAGGGGGATGGAATCCAAGGTCATAATCTCTAGAGCTGTAAGGTACTTAGAGATGATCCAACCAACCTTTTCAATTTTAATAAGAGGAAACTGAGGCCCTGAAAAAGTTAAGTGATCTGTCCAAGGTCACACAAGTAAGGACACAGCAAAGCCAGGACTGGAACCCAAGTTTTCTGCCTCCAAATCCAGCTGTTTTGCCCATGCTACAAAGCCACAGACCCTCTCTTCTCTCCTCCTCCCACAGATCCTGCCTTTGCTGCCACATCTAAGGCTTGGGGGAAAAACCCATAAGCACCTGACTGTTCAGAAGACTGGAAAAAAGCCAGGTACATTAGCTGCCAGACCTTGACACCTGGATTGCCACCAGCTGTGTAAGGAGGTCAAGGTTCAAGCCCCAGGAGAAGGAATAAGTAGAGAATCATAGAGTTACAGAGGATGCAGTACAACCCTCTCATTTTACAGAGGAGGATACTGAGGCCTGGAGAGGGGACCTGCCCAAGGTCACACAGAGCCCAGACTCAAACCCAACTCACCCAACTTCCAATCTAGTGTGAGCTTTCTGCTCCACCAGGATGCTAATGGCAGGGTTCTGAGGCACAAGAAAAAAAAAAGCCTCCATGGGTGGCCCCTATCCAAGTAATGAGAGGACACTGGCTATGACGATGGAAAGGGAAGCCGGGTCTTGCTGTCCAAATGTGGATGCCAGTGACTCACTCCCTCTTCTTCCAGTCTGCTGAACCCTGTCTAGATCTCAGGAAGCAAAACTAGCTCAGTAAATGACCTACCTTGTTCTTCGGCTCCTTGAAACCCAGACCTGAATGAGAAATTGGGAGGAGAGAGACGTTAAGGGCAAGAAAGAGAGACTGCACCCTGTGTACCTGCACCCTTTCCTTTCCCTCCTCGGGTCTTTTCCCCACCTCTCCCCAGGAGAACCTCCCATCACCCAGCCCAATCCCAGACTCACATTTCCAGTGGAATAAGCCGATGATAACAAAGAAGATTCCTACTATTATGGGGATCAGCACTAAGAGACCCGTTCGAGATTTGGGACCTGGGGAAAACTGGGCTTTAGCAAAACCTCCCCCAAGCATCTCCCATCCTTTTACAATCTTTTGTTCCTCCCACTTTTCCCATCCCTGGTCCACTCTCCATCCCTTCTACCCCCCACTCAAAATCTTTTCTTTCACACAGAATGCTAGAATGTCTGATCTGGAAAGAGACGTAATGGCTAGCTGGTGCAACCCCTCATGTTACTGATGAGGAATCAGTGGCATAGAGAGGTGAAACAACTTGTTCATAGTCACTCAGCTAGTAATTGGCAGAACCAAGGAGTAGAACCCAGGTCTAATGACTGTTAAATCACATGTTCTTTCTACCCTCTCTACCTTTCTACTCTTTGCTGATGCATAACTTCAATGTCTATCTTATCCCTTCCATTCCCCCCATCCCAAATCTGACTTTAATCTTCTGCCATTGTCCACACATAATTACCATCTTGGCAGAGCACATCAGTTTTATCTGTCCCCTCCTGAATTTCCACCAGTCCTGAGGCTTTGCACCTGGGTAAACACACAAGCACAAGCACAAACACACACACACACACACACACACACACACAGATTAAGTTTTTCCAGCTCATGGGGCTTCAAGGCCAGAATTGGGAGAATCAGATAAGTCAAGAAGTTCCTGCTCCTCTGTGCAAGGGATTATGGGAGATGGAAAAAGATAACTATGGTCCCCTCACTCAAGGAGCTTAAAACCAAATAGGGAAAGCAACTTTAATTAATTGTGATTCAATTCATAAACAATGATAATGCTTCTTATGTTTACAGGTTGCTTAGCATTTGCCTCACAACAACCCTGTAAGGTGGTACTGGGATTATTGTCCCCATTTTTCAGATGAGAAATCTGAGTCATAGAGACTTTAAGTGACTTGCCCAAAGAGCAAGTGTCAGAGCCATGATTCATATACCAATTCTAGGTCTCTTGACTGACTCCAAGTCCAGAGCTCCTTCCACTAGACCATGCTGTACAGAACAGTGCATGATCTGAGTGCTAATGTGTGGTCCATGAGTGCTAGAAAGTTCAGAAAAAGGGGAGAGGAAAAAGAATGGTGTAGTCAGGGAAGGCTTTCAGAGGGACTCGATCTACATCTTAAAGAATGGACAGAATTTGGACAGGTTAAGGGGAGAAAATGTATTCTAGGCCAGGATACTACATTACATTATAGAGTCACAAATTAAGAACTGGAAGGGACCTCAGAAGTCATCTGGTCTAAGCCCCTTATTTTACAAATATGGAAATAGGTCCAGGTCCAGAGAAGTGGGAGGCAGAACAAGGACTTGGATCCTCCAGCTTCAAACTGAATGCCCTTCTCACTGGACCATGAACAATACCAACAAACGCAGGCTCCTGTCTACAGAATGATGCCACGGCAGGCAGCGAGCAGCTGTGTGGAGGGAAGGCAGAGGGCAGAGGAAAGGACACCACAGCGGTGTTGATATTGATGAGGTCTGTTGACTTTCCCCTCTTAAGACCTGCTTCATCCTCTGTGAAATGGGTACAATCCTATTTGCACACCATAGCTCCCAGGATTTTGTTGAAAGAAAAATGCATTGCAGATCTTGCAGGAACTATAGGAATGTGAGTTATTGTCATTAGTATTCTAAGTCCTGGAGAGTTATGGGAAATAAAGTTGGGCAGGCATTGTTATAAAGGGCCAGGCAGAGCAGTTCAGACTTGATTCATTAGGCAACAAGGAGCCCCGGGCAGTGTTTGATCAGCTTCATGACAAAAATGAGTGTTTTTCAGAAGATGAATCTGGGGCTTGTGCAGAATAAATGGGAGGAGGACATGGAAGGCAGGAAGACTAGTCAGGAAACCGCTCTAGTCATCCATCTATGAGCTGATGAGAACCTGGCCATGACAGGGGAGAAAAAGAGAGAGACATTGCAAGGGAATAGCCAGTGGTCTTGGGGACCAGCTGAGCTTGGGGAGCGAAGAAGAAAGAGGAGTCAAAACGAAGAAGTCTGATGTCATACAACGAGGACTGAATTTAGACTGAGAACCCAACTTCGAATCTCAACTTTACCACTACATATGTGGCGTATGGTGAGTGGTGTAACCTCTCTGAAACGTGGCTTCTGCATCCGTTAAATGAAAGAGTTGGATAAAATAACATCTGAGTTCCCTTCCAGATAGAAATCTTATAATCTCCACAAAAATCTTACAAGTCTCTGTGATTCTCCCCCCAGGATGGGTCCTAGGTGATCATAGATTAGGAAATTCCCAATTTTTCAATGGGGGAAACTGAGGCCCAAAAAAGGTAAATGCAGGTCCCCTAACTCCAAACCCAGTGCTATTTCCACTTAATAACCCTGCCCACAATGAGATGTCAGGAGGCTAGACTGACAAGTATAGAAGACTTAGTAGGACTAGGGGGCGCTTCCTCACTGGTGTCTGCTGCTGTTTTCTATGTCTTTGTTTTTCAGTCAGAGCACTCACACATAAGTACATCATGAAGATGAGCTGGACATATCCCGAATGTCTGAGTTCCTCTCAAACTTTTGCTACTTTGTGACCAGAAAAACAAAGGGTAGGCAAGAGGGTGATCATGGTGAAGAGAAGTGGGGGAAAGGAAGGAAAGGGAAAGGAAAGAAGGAAAGAAGGAAGGAATGAAGGAAGAAAGAAAGGAAGGAAGGAAGGAAGGAAGGAAGGAAGGAAGGAAGGAAGGAAGGAAGGAAGGAAGGAAGGAAGGAAACAAAGGAGAGAAGGATGGAGGAAAGGAAGGATGGATGGAATGAGAGAGGGAATGAAAAAATAGAGGAAAGGAAGGAAAGAAGGGAGGGAGGGAAGGAAGGAGAAGAAGAAGGAAAGAGGGAAGGAGGGAAGAAAGGGAGGAAGAGACAGATGGGGGGAAAAAAGAAAGTTATATAAAAAGGTAGAGCAGAAAGTTAGTATGAAGAGGAAGCAATATGGTATAACTGGACTTGGAGTAAAAAGACATAGGTCTGAGTCCCAACTCTAATGCTTACTAGACTGACCTTGAGCAACAACATCATTGAATCTCTTGAGACTCAGCATTTACATCTACAAAATGAGTAGAATTGAGGCAGCCAGGTGGTACAGTGGATAGAGCACCAGCCCTGGAATTAGGAGGAACTGAGTTCAAATTCAGCATCAGACACATAACACTCACTAGCTATGTGACCTTGGGCAAGTCACTTAGCCCCAATTGCCTCACGTAAAAAAAAAATAAAATTTTTAAATGAGTAGAATCATTCTCAAATAGGTACTAGCTGCAAGACCATAGACAAGTCATTTAACTTTTCCCTGCCTCCATTTCCTCATCTGTAAAGTGGAGATAATAATAATACCTGGACAGTTATTATGAGAGTCAAATGAAATAATATGTAAGGGGCTTTGTAAACTTAAGATATTACAGAAATTATCTGTTATTCTTTATATTATTGTTAGTATTATCCTTGTACTACCATCACAAGGGAAAGTTTTTTATAAACCTTGAAAAAATGAAGATAACCATTATCTTCTTTTCTAGCTGAACGCATGGGTGTGCCAAAGGACACACACCCGCACCAGAGTATGGCTGGAAAGGATGGGAGAGAAAGGCCTTCATGTACAGTAATGTGTCTTTTCAATTTCCCAGGTATGCCACGGACATAAGGCCTGGAAGCATAGCCCCAGTGACTATTCATGGACCCAGGAAGCAAGAGTCAGGAATTCCCAATACCTGGTCCAGGGGAGGCACTTTTCAGAAGCAGAGGATACATTGGAGAAAAAGCCTTTCTTGCAACGTTCACAGATGGTGTCAGTAGAACTTGTGCCTGGGAGAAGAGAAGAGAGCAGAGTGGATGTCATCATCAATAATAACCAATGAACGTTTATTAAGTGTCTACTATGTACCAAGCCCTGTGCTAAGTCCCAGCCATCGAGGGGCTTACAATCTAATAGGGGGAGATAATACATCGAAAGGAAGCTAAAACATGGATGAGAGGGCAGAACGTACTCAGCACGGGGGTTATGATGTTCTTAGAGTCAAAACCAAGCTGAGCAGCTAATGGTAAAGATGTTAGCTGGAAAAGTCTGAGCCCTTCATACAGGGAGGCCTTGGGAAGAGCTCATTTCTCTGCCTTCCAGCCCTTCAATCCGAGGGAAAAGGCCCTGAGGCTGTCATCTTGAGGTAGGTCTGGAAGGCTATTAAGTCAGGCTCCTCTGGGCTACAGAAGCAATGGCCATCCAGGAGCAAGGGTCAGGGGTAAGCTTCACACCGGCTGACCTGTCCCTGTTCTACAGTTGCATCCTATAGGAGAACTTCTAATCCTCCCTTCCTCCCCCTTTCCCTTCTCCTGGAGCTGGGAATGGCTGGAACCTCTGGCAAGGGAGACAACGGAAGACTGGGATCAATGGTGCCATTTTGGGGCCTGAGGACCTCTCCTCCCCACCCCAATTCCTCTCCTTTCTTTAGAAGTAACAGGAATTGCTTGGCTAAATGCAGATAGAAGAGATGAAGAGTACCTTTTCCCTCCTCAGCTTTGGCCCTGGTCTCCCTCACTCCCCCCATACTTCCTGGACTAGAATCTTAGATATGAAAGAGACCTTAGAACATAGAATATCAGAGCTGGAAGAGCTTAGAGACCATCTAGCTTGATCTCTTTACTTCATGAAAGGGGAAACCGAGGCACTGCCCCAGTAGGGCTACTCACCAATCAGCTTGACGCCAAAGCCTAGTGGGCAGGAGCTATGGCTGCTGCAGCTGTCACACTCTGGGCTAGTACAGTGAAAACCATCTGTGCAAATGCAGATAGTGTCCTCTTTTAAGGAGCCTTCCTCCTGAATCTTGAGGTGCAAATCTAAGCAGAGAGGGCAGTGAGGAGCCAGTGATGAGAGGAAAAGGTTGGATCTCCCTTCCCAGCTCTTTCCTGCCCCAGAATCCACTGACCCACAAGCACATGTATAGTGGGACACATGCCCTCTACCTTTCCCCTGGTTCCCCACCACCCCATCACCACCATTACCACCACCACCATTACCACCACCACCACCATCACTACCACCACCACCACCATCACCATCACCACCACCACCACCATCACCACTACCACTCTCTGTCAACATACTGGGATCACAGTATTTGTGTTGATGGCAGTATTTATCATGGTTCCAGGAAGACTGGAACTCGCCCTCTTGGCATGACTCACACTGGGTTTCCCTGTCCTCACTGCAATCAGTGACCAGCTTTGTTCCTGGAAGATGTCAAGAGAAGAGAAAGCTCCAGCCAGGCCAGAACCTCACATTTCTATAACACACTGAGGTTTACAAAGCACTTTTCTCACAATGGGCTCTGGGAGCTAGGTAGTACTAGCATTTAATTAATCCACAAGCAATAAATGCCTACTACGTGCCACCTACTAGGCATATTATCATATCTACTTTAGAGGTGAGAAAATTGAGGAATGGGGAGTTGGGGGGTCACATGGCTAGTACACATTACTTTGTATGTATAAATGTGCCCAAAGTCACATGACTAGTATGAGCCTGGATTCGAATCCAGGTCTCCTAATTCCCATCCTAGTCACCTTTTCATATACCTGGAGAGCACTTCTCACAGCAGATTCCATTCACCAAGTATTGACTTTTCTCACAAAAAGTGGATGGTTTCATATGGACCTGAAAAGAGAGAAATCACAAGATCTCAAATTTGGAAGAACCATAAGAGAACAGCTGCCTGCCTCCAATTAAGTGAATGGCGATTATCAGGCCTGGATAGTTTAGATCAGAGGTGTCAACAATACTCCTGAGAGCTACCGGAACTAGATTAAAATGCAATTGGGAAATAGTTAACAAAACAAATTAAAAATACAATAGAACATAGGTAATGTTGATTGGTGGTTCTCTAAGTCAATAAATGCCTTCAAGGATCTTTGTGTACAGTTTAGGGACCCCCCCCCACTAGAACTATTCAATAGACCTAAATGAGTCTGAATCATGAGGTTAAGAGTGAAAGTTACTCTCTGGATTCAGCCTCTGATCATTCTGACAGAGTGACCCTGGCCAAATCTCTGAACCCCTCAGTGCCTCAGGCAGCTCTAAAACCAAGGCTCAGAACACTTGCTCATCTGCATCCGTCAAGGGAGAAGGGTGTTGCTGACAAAGTGAAATTTTCAGTGTGACCATTAATATATCAGAAATCAGCAAACTATACAGGAAATCTCAGGATTTGACCTATGTTTTGGTTTGTCTAGACTTAACAAAGTGATGGAGAAAAGCTTGCTGACTCAGATGAAACTTAAAAGTGCATGCTGGGTTTTTGGAGAGCTGATTGTTAAATGTTAACCAGCATACCCCCTAGATTTTCATTATCTGGAGTTCTGTAAGCTGGTGATCTAGGCCCCAAACCACACACACACACACACACACCCCACAGTTTCAACCACATTGCAGCTTCAGCCAACAGTAATGGTAAGAGTCAAAGGACCTATGGTCAGATTCCGGTTCTACTACTTGTGTGACCATGAGAAAATCACTTAACATCTCTGGGCCTCAGTTTTCTTATCTGCAAAATGGGAGACTAGATGATCTCTTAGGTTTCTTCTAATCCTAAATCCTATTATCTTAAAAATACCAAATGAATTGATCTAAATTGGAACTGAGGAATACAGTGGAAAAGCTCTGGTGTGGAGTCAGAGGACTTGAGATCCCAGCCCAGCTTTGCCACTTATTCAGAGTCACACTTAGTGTCCCTGCCTACAGTCAAACCTAGTTCTCCTGGTTGTGCTATGGTTTATCCAGCCTTTACTTAGACACTTCCAGTGACAGAAGACTCACTACCTTATGAGGCAATCTATTCTTACTCTTTCCCTACACCATACTACCTCTCAAATGACCCCTGTCTCTTCTTCACATTTATTATTTTCTTCAAGGCACATCTTCTTCCACACAAACTGTCTTTCATTTTCATTAACTATAGCTTCCTGCCTCCCCCTATTTTCTGTCTAGCTGTCTCTCTGTCTTTATCTCTGTGTCCCTGTCTCTGTCTGTCTCTGTCTGCCTCTGTGTCTGTCCCTGTCTCTTCCTGTCTCTGTCTCTGTGTCTCTGGCTGTGTGTCCCTGCCTCTGTCTTCTCTCTGTCTCTGTGTCTGTCCCTGTCTCTGTCTTTTCTCCTTCTCTGACTCTGTGTCCCTGTCTCTGTTTGTCTCTGTCTCTGCCTCTGTCTTTGTGTCTGTCTCTGTCTCTTCCTGTCTCTGACTCTGTGTCCCTGCCTCTGTCTCTCTCTGTTTTTGTCTCTATGTCTCTGCCTGCCTCTGTCTCTTTGTCACAGTGTCTCTATCTCTGTCACTGTCTCTGTCCTGTGAATCTGACTCTATGTCCCTGCCTCTGTCTCTCTTTGTCACAGTGTCTCTATCTCTGTCACTGTCTGCATCTCTGTGAATCTGACTCTGTGTCTCCGTCTCTGCCTTCTTTGTCTCTGTCTTTCTCCCCATGCCCTCTCCTCCACCCCCAATGCTACTACATTCTTTTATTGGACCCAACCGAAGTTGGTTGAGTTTGTTGCAGGTGAGCTCTGGCCTTCAGGAAAGCTGGCAAGACAATACATATGTATGTCAATTCATTACATTTTACAGCCAGTAGCAGAACCCAAACTGGAGAGGATTGACTCAGCAACAGCTTAGAAAGCAGATGAGTGCACAGCAGATGTTTGTCCCCCTAGCAACATCAGCCATCTCCCAGTGCACAGTCCTGAAGGGGGCTGGGTAAGAATGTGCGTGGCTAAGTACAGCCATCAGAGGATCCCTGGGCTAGAAGGAAACTGGGAGCTCATCTCCTTTAACTGTGCATCACATCCTTTATTGTTCAGTCCAGCAGCCAACGGCAGAGATCCCCTCTGAAGCACCCCCACAAACACCAATCACTTTCTGCTTGAACACAGCCAGTGACAGGAAGCAGTCCATTCCATTGTTGGGCAGCTTCTACGCTAGGAAGTTCTTCCTTATATGGAACTAAAATATAATAAGAACAATAAAAGATTTATTTACATAGAGCTTTACGGTTTATAAAACACTTTATAAATGTTATCTTCTTTTATCCTCACAACAATCCTGGGAGGTAAGTGCTATTATTATCCCCATTTTACAGTTGAGAAAACTAGGGCTGAGAGAGATTAAATGACTTTCCCAGGGTCACAGAGATATTAAATGTCTGAGGTCATACTTGAACTCAGCTCTTCCTGATGCAGGTCCCACACTCTAATCACTATGCCACCTAGTTGAGTTTAATCCCTCTTCACATGACAATCCTTCAAGCACAGTATTTAAAGAAAGCAATCAGGGCAGCTAGGTGGCTCAGTGGATAGAGCACCAACCCTAAAGTCAGGAGGACCTGAGCTCAAATCTGGCCTCAGACCAAACACTTGACACTCACTAGCTGTGTGACCCTGGGCAAGTCAATTAACCCCAATTGCCCCCCCCAAAATGAAAGCAATCATGATTCTGATAAAATCCATCCAAGTCTTTATCCCTAGTTCTTTCAACCTCAAGAGCCAGCTGGTGGCTCAATGGGCCTGGAGCCAGGAAGACCTGAGTTCAAATTCTGCCTCAGACTGTTACTGGTTTTATAATGTTTGTTTCCCTGAACTGTAAAATGGGGGAATAGTAGCACCTACCTTGCTGCCTGGCACATAATTGTGGTTCATCCTTTGTTCTCAAAGAGGACCATGACATCAGGTAGATGATGACATGACTTGCAATTGACTTTGATTTGAGTGAGGGAGGGCTGTGCAAAGTTACCAGTCTCACTTTCTCCTCCATCTGGGACCAGTGACCAAATATCCATTAGGACAACTGGAGATGGCCCAAGTTGAACATAGTAGGTGCTATGAGTCCCTTTCCCCCATTGACACAATTTTAAGCCTTTTCATGTTGGTTGCCTTTCTCTAGACACTCTCAAGTTTGCCAACATTGCTCCTAAAATATGACATAGGTGTCCTAGGGCACAAAACTCCATGCTCTAAATGAGGCCTGACCAGGCAAACAAGTGAGATGGACACCACTTCCCTGTTTTGGAATCATCTTATTGACTCATATTGAACTTTCAGCCAATTAAAATCCCCAGGTAATTTTCATGAACAAGCATCTGGCCCTATACGCCCCATTTTATATTGGTGAAGGTGAGTTTTTGGACCTAAACACTGAATTTTACATCTATCTCATGAAACTGAAAATGTAAATTGAAAAATTCAAGACATGCTATACTTGATATTAAGAAATGGCCTCAATAACAAAAACCCCATACAAGCAATTGGTCCTGGATTTTAGCAGACTGAAAGGTTGCCATTCGGTAATACTCAAAGTATCTGAAATTTAGGAAAGTGCATTGTACCATAAGTGGGAAACTGGCTAGACAAGTCTGCCAACCTAACTAGGCCCCCTAAAATACAACAGTCTGTTACCATGCAATGGTTATTACAGCTACACACACATACACACACCCCACCCCCATTACATCCAGTTAGAAGGGACTCTAGGGATCATTTAATTCAACTCCCTCATTTATAGAGGAGGAAACTGAGGCTTAAAGAAGAAACTGATGTCCAAAGAAATTTAGTAGTTTGCCCAACATCACACAGATAATAAGTAGCAAAAGCAGAATGGGAACCCCTGTTTTCTAACCCTAAATCCAGTGCTCTTTATATTGTAACAGAGCAGAATTACTGCTAAAATAACAGGTCATAGTTACGTAGGACTTAAGAGTTTACAGTTTTACAAAGCCTTTAGTGTCAGTATTAATATCCCTATTTTACAGATGAACAAACTGAGGCTTGCAGTGGGGACTTACTTATTTAAGATCACGTAGCTAGCAAGTTTTGGATCTGAGCCCAGAATTTGGGACTTGCTTGACTCCAAGTCTAGTGCTCTTCAATTCAGTAACCAATATTATTAACTCCATCATAAAGCAAAAATCAGTCTATAATGAACTTGTGACCAACCATGAGCCCTTAGCTCTGTTCCTCCTGTCACAGAACACTCTCAAGGAAAGTGCCTGTGCGGGGCAGGAGGACCTGACTTCAAGTCCAGCTTCAGACACTTGACACTTACCAGCTGTGTGACCTTGGGCAAATCACTTAACCCTGATTGCCTCACCAAAAAGGGGAAAAAAGGAGAGTGCATGTGACTAAGGAATTCTCCCTATTTTGAGGAGCTCAGCCCTTTCCCTGTGGCAGAACCTGGAATGAGGGGCTAGGGAGTCTGACCCTTGGTTCACCTCCTTTCTACCTGCCTCTTCCTCCCGTGTGGTCCTTTCCAAAAGGTTCTTTCTTTCTGGCTTCACCCTCCCTTCTCTCCATCTCTATTTGCCCTCTTAACTTTTGTACTCAGTGAAAATGAAAGTGAGGGGCAGAAGTGGCTTCCCCCCCTTCCCCTCCCACCAGGAACCCAACTTCTCCCCAGTAATCCTCCCAGGCTTGTTTATTCCTGTATAGCCATCATTCTAGCATTTTACAGCTTCACTGACAACCCCTCCCCCAACCCGAGTGAAATGAGGTGGGGAAAAGGGGGGAAGTTATGGGTTGGGGGACTACACAGCAGACCAGGTACAAGGGGAACTCCCAACCTCCAAAATGAGGAACTATCCAAAAAACAGAGAGGGGTGTGGGTCTGTAATGAATTCCCCAGCGATATGCTTGGGCAATTCTGAGCTTCAGAACATGTGTGTGATGGCTTCAGAGAGACATCATCATCCCAGGGTAGTAGCCCCCTCTGAGAGACAGTATGGTTGAGAGGAAGAAGCCTGTGCCTAATTCACTGTGGGCAAGTTACTTCATCTCATTGAGCCTCAGTTTCCTTTTATGTTCATTGGAAGAGTTGAACTAAACAGTCTCTAAGGTTCCTTCCAACTCTACCATTTCTTAAATCCTCAGGCCCCTTCCAGCTCTCTCATCATGTGGTCTAGGAACAAGGAAGTTCTGATGTTTTACATTCTACAGGTCCTTCCAGCTCTGACATTATATATTCATAGGATCATAGATATTTGACATGGATTTTAAAAATCTATCTAGTCTAACCTCTTCATTCTTATAAAGCAATTGAGGGTCAGAGGGGTAAAATGATTTGCTCAAGGTCACACAGATTCTAAGTGACAAAGCAGGGATTTGAACTTGGGTGTCTGATTCCAAATTTAATGTTTCTTCCACCGATTTTGCACTTCCTCTAAAGTCCCTTCCAGTTCTGCTGCTCTCTGTTCTAATGTTTCTCTAATTTTGGCATTCTGTTTTCTAAGCCCCTTTCAAATTGGACATTACAGGATTCTCAGTTCAAAAAACAAATCCTATTGATTTGTTTCATTTAACCCCCTGATGCTGTCCCTGAAATTGTATCCATTTCTTTTAGTTAGGGAGTCATAGGGTATTTCCCTGGCTTTTCCCCTGAGACAAAACCAGTGGTGGTATAAAGATGTGGTAGTTTTGCGCGCTGTGTCTCCCCCTTCCCCTTCTCTAAGGAGTTTCAGCCTTTCACCTATCTTTCCCTCTATCCACAGAAAGGGCACAGAAGGGAAGCACTGATAAGACTCCCCCCAAGTTGTCAAGAATCCCATGACCATGCAGAGGGGTTGTTACCAGATGCAACAGCATCCTGTAATATGAGAAAAGGACAGGAAACTGGACTTTTTCCACCTCTTCCTATTCCATTCCATTTCCTTTCTGGCCTAGAGAACAGCAGCCTATCTGTAACCTCCCCAGTTCTTTAGCCAGCCAGTCCCAGGGGTTTAAGGCTGAACACAGGCTCCTGGGGCCTAGCTCTGTGCCAATTTAAAGGCAGTCTCACCTCTTTCTTCTTGAAGTGCCCATAATAATATTCCCACAAAAACTCTAGACTGGACTGGACTGGACATAATACAAACTCAAGGAAGGTGGAATGAATTGAATCAGCTCTAAGAAGGCACTGGTTGCCTCAGACCCTTAAAGTTGGCTGCAAGGAGCAGCCCATGGATGAATGATCTGTTGCCTGGAAGTTAGCAGGGTGACCCACAGCTCACTCCCCTTAAACTGGCCATAAGAAGAGTTGTCCTCTGCTACCAGGTCATTTCCCTTCCCCTACCCTCTCTCCCTCTACCTTTTATTCAACTTTTAGTTCCTCTCAGTTTTTCATTAGTTGATCTCTCCAAGAAAGTAAGTCAAATGTTAGATCTGGTGAAGAAGGAACCTCAGAGAGTTCACTATCTTCATTTCACGGAGGAAGAAACTGAGGTGTAAAGAGGACACCTTTCAGGATCCCCTAAAATCCACATTATGCCCAGATGTGTGAGCCCTTTCCAAAAAGCCCTACTTTTCTTTCCATCGCATCCTATTCCAAGTTTTAGACTCCAACCTGGCTTCCCTGGAAAGAGAAGGGGGAATGAAGGGGTAGGAAGTCAACTCACGGCGGTAAAAACGCAGGTCCACAGCAGACAGAACAGGATCATGGCTGGACTGGATGAAGGCTCCAAGCGAGGTGAGGATGGCCAAGAGCCGGCGTCTAATAATCCCCTACACACCACATGGAAGCCCCACCCATAACTGGGCGGGGCACCTCAAGTCAATCTCACCTAATGTTGTCGGGAGAGCTAGAACCCCAGAGAGCCCCCTGACCGCACCACAATTAGTGTTTTCCGTGGATATTCCAGGTTAGGACAGTTTTCCGGGATCCAGTTGAGAGGACTCTTTTCCTGGCACCCCAAGCTTCTCTCCCCTTTACTTCCAACCTCTGTAGTGGAACCCCAAGGGGAAGTAAAGGCAGGAAAGAGGTATCCTGTCTATGCTCCAAGGATTATAGGAGCAGTGAACTGGGTCATGCCCGTGGGGCTGGAGACCCGCTGGGTTAGGGGCGCAACACTGCTCTACCCCCACCACCATCCGCCCGAGCCGACAGAACTGAAAGTTCCCCCCCCATCCCCCTCTTTCTCTGGGCTCTCTGCCAGCTTTTCTAGAGGAAGTCCCCTGGGAGAAGTGCAGCTTGAGAGGAGAGCGTGGGTGTTTGCAAGGAAAGGAGTTTCCCAAGCTGAGTTTCTCTTTCATTCCTAAGGAAATTCCAGACTAAGTGAGGGAAGGTGGGGAGAAGCTTTTCGATGCCCGTCTCTGTCCCAACTCTAAGACCGAAACTGACAGGAAGAATAACCATAGTTCACATTCTTTGGGTAGCACTTAACAATGCTAGTGTAAAAGTTACTGCCCCCATTTTACAAAAGAGAGAATGAAGGCACAAGGAGAGAAGAAACTGGCTTGTCTAAGGTCACACCAGAAGTCCTGGGCAGAACCGAGCCTGGACCCCACATCTCCTGACTCCCACTTGGCTGTAAACTCTTCAGAGAGCAGGGACTGTTTCATTTTTGTCCTTGTATCCTCAGCTTCTAGCCCCGTGCCTGGCACACAGTAGGTTCTTAATACACACTTGCTGAAAGATTCTGAAGCTATGAAGAATAGATTTAACCACTCTTTCTTCCTAGGATTATGAGTGTTTTTAGAGACTTTTAAGGATTATCTACCTACCCCCTATTCCAACTCCAGGCTTTCTTTTATCAAGAATATAGTCATAGTTTATATTTCTATAGCAGTGAGCACACAAAATTTATTTACCACCTTCATTTTAAGGAAAAAATGGAATCCCAGAAGGGAAGGGATTTTGCCTAAGGTCAAGAAATCAAAGCCAGAACATCTAATTTTAAATCCAGTGATCTTTTCATTATACACAGGGTTACAAAATCCCCACTCCCCAACTTCCTAAATCTGTGGTTTCAAAATCTTGTAGGAATTTGGTATTCCTAGAAGAATACCCAAAGGGGAGTCAGGAGATCTGGGTTCTGGGCCTGGTTCTGCCCAGGACTTCTTAGACAAGCCAAAAAAGAGAACCTTCTATGCTTGTTCTGAGAAAGTGTCATCCAAAAACTGTCACACACAAGTCATGACACAGTTCCCTGTCTTGTTAAACTTTAAAAATAAATTTAATTCAAAATTCACAAACTTAAGTAAGCATCAAAGAAATAGAAGCAAATTTTCAAATTACATTTTCATAAGTGTTTAGCATTTATATTTTTGAAGCTATTAAGGTTTAAAAGTGCACTAATGCAGTTGGGGCAACTAGGTAGCGCATTAGATAGAGCACCAGCCCTAAAGTCAGGAGGACCTGAGTTCAAAGCCAACCTTAGACCAACCACTTGACACTTATTAGCTGTGTGACCCTGGGCAAGTCACTTAACCCCAATTACCTTAAAAAAAAGTGCACTAAGACTTTTGGGACATGCTGTGTGTATGTGTATACATGTGTGTGTACATGCACACATACATACATAGGTGTGTACATGCACATACATGTATATAGAATAACTATGAGGTAATTAGGAGCACAGGCACTAGCAATAGTGGGGATCAGCAAAGGTCTCCTGTAGGATGTTGTACTTGGGCTGAACTTTGAAAGGAATGAGGGATGCTAAGAGGTGAAGATAAGGAAAAATGACATTCTGGGCATGGAAGAATGGCCTGTGAAAAGGTTCAGAGACTGGAGATTGAATGTTATCTGTAAGAGACATGAGAAGCTCCTGCAAGTTTGGATCAAGAAGGATATGAAAGGGAGGATGTGAAATATTTAATAAGACTGGGAAGGGAAAGAATTATAACACAGGTTGTAAATGCCAAATAGAGGAATTTGTGTTTGGTCCTAGAAATATCAAGGAACCACAGGAATTTATTGAGCAGGGGGCTTGACACGATTGGAGACCTGTTTTAATAATATTCAATTTGGCAGCTGTGTGGAGGTGAAATTGGAGAAGAAAGAGACTGAAGAAAGGGAAACCAAATAGGAAGCTCTAACAATAGTCCAGAAGAGAGGTAATAAGGGTTTGAACTAAGGTGGTAGTTATGTGAGTAGAGAGAAGGAGATAGATGCCATCGATGTTATAGAAGCAGAATCAACAAGACTTGGCACCTGACTGGATGTGTGAGGTGATGGAAAATGAGGAGTTAAGGATGACTTAGAGATTGGGGCAGTTAGATGGCTCAGTGGATAGAGTCCTGGTCTTGGAATCAGGAAGACTCACCTTCCAGACTTCAAATCCAGCCTCAGACACTTACTAGCTGTGTGACCCCCAGGCAAGTCACTTAATACTGTTTGCCTAAATTTCCTCATCTATAAAATGAGCTGCAGAAGGAAATGGCAAACCACTCCAGTATCTTTGCCAAGAAAAATCCCAAGTGGGGTCACAAAGAGTCTGAGACGACTGAACAACAACAATAAAAAGAGATTGAGACTCTAAGTAACTTGTAGGATCTTTGTGCCCTTAAAAGAAATAAGAAAGTTGGTAAAAGGGGGTGGGCTTAGGGGAAAGGTAATCAAATCTGTTTAGGATATGTTGAGTTGATATGCCTATGAGACATCCAGCTTGAAATATCCAAAGGCAGCTAGTTAGCGATTCCAGATGAGAGATACTGGGGCTGGATATACAGATTTGGGAATCATCTGCATAGAGATGACAACTAAACTCGTCAGAGCTTATGAGGTCACAAAACAGTGTGCAAAAAAAAAAAAAAGTAAGACCAGGCAGAGTCTTGGATTACACCTGCAGTTAGGAAGTGCAATAAGGGTGATGATTTAGCAAAGGAAATTGAAGAGGAACTATCACAGAGGTAAGAGAGCCAAAGAAGAGCAATTAAAGTAGAGGCTTACTAGCTGTGTAACCCTGGGCAAGTCACTTAACCTTCATTGCCTCACCAAAAAAGCAAAAAAAAAAAAAGATAAATGAGGAAGTAGTAAGAGTACTTTGCTGCTCTGAAGGAGTTAAATCACTAGGGAAGGGCCCTCAAGAACTATATGAACGAATGAATAAACATTTAAGTGCTTTCTACATGCAAAGCACTGTGTTAAATGCTACCGATTCAGACAAAAATACAGAACAGTCCCTGTGCTTAAAGAGAAATAATACATATAGGAGAATGCAGCAGTAAGTCAGGTTAGGAAGGCTTAATGTGCAACACCAAAGCAGCTGGTGAAGCCTCTTCGTTAATTTTATTTTCTCTGATAAAATCAGACTTCTTTCTGATATTGAAACGTTTCATAATGCCAAGGACTTTGATGGTAAGAACTTTCTTAAATTCTTTCTGTCCTTTCTTACTTTCTTAAACAGCTATGACCAAAGGCGAGACAAGGCAGAAGCACCTGCCTCTTCAACTCTAGATCTCCCACTCAGTATCTGGATCCAGGTCCATCTTCAGAAGGCTTGATCTCCTAGATGATGGCTGCAGGGGCTGGGCTAGAAGCAAGGCTGGCAGTGCTGCTATTCCCAGTCTTCTTGGTCTGTGGGTCTAGGGGGAAATGGTAGTGGTAGTTTGACTCACCCAAATGATACACCTTCCTATCTCTCCTCCAGGGGACTTTATTGCTTCGGCTAAGTAACTTACCTGCCCTTTGGGTTGCAATTGGTCAGGATGACTGGCCCCTTCACCACAAGAGTTGTTCCCATGAATGATGGCCTTAGGGATTGAGCTGGAATCACTGTCAGTGGTCTGGGAGCGGGAGCAGGAGGGGTACTGCTCTTCCCAAAGCTCTTAGGACCAGGGTTCTGGGTTGTCTCAACTCAGATCTGAGAGAAAGTGGTGGGCAAGATGATGCTAGTGATTTAACTTGCCTGGCAAGGCTCCTTCAAGAACTGTAAGATGTCACTGCTGAATCAGTATCAGGAACCGTTGAATGGCTACAGAGAACAGGAGAGATGCCAGAATACTGGAGAAAGGTAAGTGTCCCAATTTTCACAAAAGGAAATGAAAAGCTAGCAGATTTGGCTTTAATTCCTAACAAAACTCTAAAACATTTGTAACCTGAGTCCATTCCCTGATTACTTAATTATTTGACTTACCTTTTTTCCCAGGATGATGATAATAATTCAGAGAGAGTCTCATGATCACCCTCCTGCCCCCGCTCCCTCACTGAAATAAATAAGGTGCATTATCAAAATAGGCAGGATGTTGCACAATAGGACAAAAGGGAAGAGATCTGGACATTGGCATCCAAGATTGGATACCTTTCTCTTCTACCTGTGTCCCTTGAGATTCAGATTTCTTGAGCACTGTAGGCCATGGAGATCAGAGTGTTGTTTCCACTACACTGAGAAATATTAGGCCTCCATTAAATGATAGAAGGAACCTTGGGCAGCTATGGCTTCATCCAGAACCTCAAGCTTCCCTGAAAGGTCCTGAAGACCAGAGCTGTAGAGGTAATTCAGATCAATCTCAGATACCAGGACTGGCAGTTACTATGGCTCTCACCAGGCTGGTGAGGTGGAGGAGAAGGGTACCTCTCTCACCACTCTTCTGTTGACTTTCCCCAGTATAGTCTCTTTTCTAGAGAGGAGAACTTGGACACATCTCTCTTTTTATTTCCTGCCCATGATCTCCAGGCACAAGTGATTTGGGAATTTCCCCAGCCACATCTGGTAGAGCTGAAGAACAAGTGGGAGGAGATTTTGGGAAATGACTGGAGGCAGATGGCTACATGCAGAATGGCTTAACGTATTTCCTTTCAGTTCTCCATTCTTCAGTAAATTATTTCATCATATGTTGAGTGCCTTAGTCCAGTGACTGTGGGAAAGTCATAACCAGAGAAAGGAGAATCCAGATACTGAATGGGAGATCTAGAGCTGTAGATTTCATATTGTTGATATGTTGAGTAATGTATCCTTTCATCCCCAGATTCAATTAAAAAACCAACCGGTGCTGCTGTTCGAAATTGTGAGCTGTGATGGTAGGGTAGTAATTTAGGCTTCTGTATGCCGATTGCCCCCTGGTGGCCAAGCAAGACACTGCAGTCTCTTGGAAGGTTACAACCAGTGTGCCTTGCTTGCTTGCTTGCTTGCTTGCTGTTTTTCTTTAGTTCTCAAAAAAGACCATGACATCAGGAAGGTAATGCCATGACATGTGCCAGAAATGAACTGAGATAATTTGTGAGCTAGTGGCTCAAAAACAGTGCCACAAGATGAAAAACTCAGATGTTGTATTCCCAGATAATTCATTATACTACCTTTTTACAGGCTTTAGGAAAGTGGTACATTAGCCAATTAGCTTACAGTGCCATGATTGTCACACATTATTAAAAGGAAGGTTTCTAAGCATTTAGAAAGGGAAGCAATTATCACTAAGAGACAGTAGGTCTTTACCAAGAACAAGTCATATCAAACTAACCTCATTTCCTTTTTTAATAACTATAATGATACCACGGAAATGCTATAGATACAGTATATCTGGATGGAGAGAAGCACCTTAAATTATAGTTCAGTTAAGTAGAATTAGAATGGGCTGAATGATTAGACCCAAAAGGGAGGCAATCATATGGTTGATGTTCTTTTGAATGGTGGTCTCTTAGAAAGATCTGCATATGATCTTGTGTTATTCAATATTTTTATCTATATTTGGATGAAATGATGCTTATCAGATTTGAAGACGATATGAAGTTGGAAAGAACAGCTAACACATTGTATGACAAAGTCATAAACCAAAAAAATTTAGAGTCTAAATTGATGAATCAAATATAAGAAAATAAAATGTAATAAAGATGAATGTTAAGTACTTCATTGGGGTCCAAAAATAAATCTCACAAGTGTTTTAGGCATGACTTAGATTGAATTCTCTTATGAAAAATATCTGGGAACCTAAAAAGACTTGTATGGACTGATGCTGAGTGAAGTGAGCAGAACCAGGAAAACATCATACACAGTAACAGCCACACTGTGCAATGACTGACTTTGATAGACTTAGCTCTTCTCAGCAATGCAAGGATCTAAGACAACTCCAAAAGACTCATGATGGGAAAAGCTATCCACATCCAGAGAAAGAACTATGGAATCTGAATGCAGCTTGAAACATACTATTTGCTCTCCTTTTCTTTTGTTTTGTTTTGATTCTTCTTTCTCAAGGTTCCTCCAACGATATTGATTCTAATTCTTCTTTACATCATGACTAATGTGAAAATATTTTAAAAAAGAAAAATATCTGGGGTTTTAGTAGACTTCAGGCTCAATGAATGAACATTTCAACAGAGCAGCCAAAAAAGCTAATACAATATTACACTAAGAGGGGGCAGCTAGGTGGCGAAGTGGATAGAGCACTGGCCCTGGAGTCAGGAGGACCTGAATTTAAATCTGGCCTCATACACATAACACTTACTAGCTGTGTGACCCTGGGCAAGTCACTGAACCCCCATTGCCCAACCAAAAAAAAAATATTACACTAAGAGAATCAACATGTCCAGAACACTGGTGGTGGTAGTGCTGCCACACACACAGTCCCTGCTCAGATCACATCTGGAGCAGCATGTTCAATTCCACGAACCACATCTTAAGAAGGACTTTGACAAGTTATAGTGCCTCCAAAGAAGGGGAATCAGGATGGTGAGAAGACTGGAGATTATGCCAAACAAACAAGGAACCAGAGATATTTAGCTTCAAGAAGAGAAATTATCATTTTCTTTAGGTCTCTGAAAGACAGTGATGTGAAAGAATGATTAGATTTGTTCTGCTTAACCCGAGAGGGCAAAACTAAGAGCAATATATAGAAGTTACTGAGACAGATTTCAGCTTGAAATAAGAAAAAATTTCCAAACAATTAGATCAAGTGAAAAAGGAAATGGACCACTTTGGAGATAATGGATTCCATCTCACAGTGACTGGGTGAAGCATTTCTTTTTCTGGTCCCATTTGAACCAGAAGTTCTGTCAAGTTCCTTCAAACTCTGAGGTTTTGTGGTTTTGTGCTCTGCTCTTGTCAGACTATATCTGGGATATTGTGTTCGGTTCTGGCTACCACACTTTAGAAAAGATATTGACAAATACAAATCCTACCTTCTACAGGAATTCTTCCCCAGTCTCCCAAGCTGTTATTGCCTTCCCCATTCAGATTACCTTCATTGTCCCCCCCCTCTCTCTCTCTCTCTCTCTCTCTCTCTCTCTTCACATACACACATATTTATATTACTTAGTTATCTGCATGTTGTTTCCCCCATTAGAATGAGTGCTTCTTAAGGACAGAGAGACTTTTTTGAGTTTCTTTGATATCTGACACATCACACCATGCCTGGAACACAGTAAGTGCTTACTAACTGCTTGTTGACTGACTGACTAGCTGGCTGGCTAGCTGGCTGACAAGTTGAAGCCTATCTAGAGGAGAATGGCCAGGACAGTGAGGAAACTAGACTATGCAAGGTAAGGATTAGTTGAAGGAGCTGAGAATGGTTAGACTAAAGAAGAAAAGATTTAGGGGATCTAAGGTAGCTTTCTTCAAATATTTTAAAGGCTGTCACATGAAAGAGGGATTAGATTTGTCCTGCTTGGCAAAAGGGGGCAGAACTAACAGCCATGCAAAAAGAAGGTTGTAGAGGGGTAGATTTTAGCTAACAATTAATGTCATTCAAAAGTAAAATGGGCTTCCTTGGAAGGTAGAAGCACATCATGGAGGGTTGTATGACCACTTGTTAGGAAACAGGGAGGGGGATTCCTATTCAGGTATGAGCTGAGGTAGGTGGTCTCAAAGGTCTATTACAACCCTAAGACTCCGGGATTCTGTGAAGATGACCTCTACAACCCTTTTTAACTTGAGGATTTGAGCGTTCGTTTAAAAGAGGAGGAAACTGTAGCTTGGGAAGAACATGTGATTTGCCCTAGGTCAAACAGCCAGTACGTGGCAAAGCCAAGGCTAAAATCCAGGTCTTTCGACTCCAGGTCCAGTGCTTTTCCCACTCTACCATGCTTGACTAGACACATCATTTCTCCTTTTTTGACCTAAGTTTTCTTTTTTTTTTAGTAGATAGATTTATTTTATTTTATTTTTATAGCATTTTATTTTTCCCCCAGTTACATGTCAAGAAAATTTTTAGAATTCATTTTTAGAAGATTTTGAGTTCCAAATATTTCTCCCTCCCTCCCTCTCCTCCCCTCTTCTGAAAATGGTAGGCAGTTTGATACAATTTATATAATGTACTATCATGTAAAAATATTTCCATATTTGTCACAGTTGTGACAATTTTTAAAAGAAGAAACAGATAAAAAAATCCACAAGAAATAAAGTGAAAAAAATGTTTCAATCTGCATTCAGAGTCCATCAGTTCTTTATCTAGCTATGGATAGCATTTTCCTTCAGGAGTCCTTTGTACTTGGCTCGGATCATTGTGTTGCTGAGAAGTGCTGAGTCATTCATAATCGATTATCACACATTATTGCTGATACTATGTACAATATTTTCCTGATTCTGCTCATTTCACTTTACATCAGTTCATGTAAGTCTCTCCACGATTTCTGAAATCTGCCTTTTCAACATTTCTTATTGCACAGTAGTATTCCATCACATTCATATACCACTTGACCTAAATTTTCTTGTCTTTAAAATGAGGGGGATGTACTAGTCTCTGAAGGCTCTTTCAGGACTAATGTCCTATGTTCTGAGGCTTCTCCCAGTTGGAGCCAGGTTATGAAGGACTTTATATGCCAAACAGAGGAATTTGTGTTTGATTTGAGAGATAATAGTCACTGGAGTTTATTGAGTAGGGTAATGATATGGTTAGACCTGTGCTTTAATTTTTTTTAAAAAAAACATTTATTTAATATTTCCCTCCAATTACATGAAAAAAAACTATTTTAATATTCATTTTTTTTTTAAATTTTGAGTTCCAAAATCTCTCCCTCACTCCCTCTCTTCCTCCCCCATTAAGAAGGCAAACAATTTGGTATAGCCTATACATGTGCAGTCGTGTAAAACCCATTTCCATGTTAGTCATATTGTGAAAGAAAACACGGACCAAAAAACAACCCTAAAGAAAAATAATCAAAATTCTTAAAAGTATGTTTTGATCTTCAGTCAGACTCCATCAGTTCTTTTTCTGGAGGTGGATAGCATTTTTTTTTCTCATAAGTCCTTTGGAATTATCTTAGATCACTGTATTGCTGAGACTAGCTAAGTCATTTGCAATTGATCATTGTACAATATTGCTGTTAAGTGTACAATGTTCTCTTGGTACTGCTCACTTCATTTTGCCTCAGTTCATGTAAGTCTTTCCAGGCTTTTCTGAGAACA